AAAACGATAACTTTGTAATACTATTTGATGACGCTCAAATTCCGCGGAATATTATCAGAATCGCAGATCGCACGTAAAATTGCACATAAAAAAATATTATGCGACAAAATATTAAATTTCATATCAAAATTTGTGAATTTAGGTTTGCAAGGTCTATAGTAAACAATCAATTTTGATTGACAATACAAGCTGTGGGAGCATTAATAAATATATTGAACTTAAAAAAGAGAAACGCTTAGCGTCCGCATTGTTATGTTTTAATAGCTTATGAAACAAAAACAATACAAAAGTAAGTTATTACATTTTTTCATAATCATCTAATAATATTACAAAAGTAACAAACTAATTTTGAAAACATATACATCTCTTCCTATTCATTTATAATAATCCTGGATTCATTGATCATTTTGATACTTGTATAAGCAATTTGAAAAAAACTTCAGGTTTTATAACAGTAAAAAGTATAACGGTAAAATAGTACATTGTAAACTGTACTGTAAAAAATTCGCGTACAATTTATAGAATTACTTACTTTTAGTTTCATCTGATGATAGATGCAACTTGAACACGGAACATTTAATAATGTACACGATTGTTGTCTGGCGACGGACAAACGCGCGCGGGAAATGCACTTCGCTCTTAAAATATAACGTAATATATTTTGAGGAAAAAATGGCAAGCATCCATCAATGTCTAGCGACTTTTGCAGAACATCGAGTCGCATTCCTTATTGTCTCGCGGTCGTGTGTCAGTCGCCTCCGGAAGAGACGACCGACTGAACTTTAACAGTCAGCTCCGAGAGCAAGCTCGAAAACTTTCGTAATATTGGTCGAACCACCGCCACCCGGGATTATTGCCCCCTTGTCCTGTAAACCATCCCCGAAGCGGATTCAGTCACCGAGATCCGCACTTCGTATTCAAGCACCGTACGTACCGAACAACGTGGTATCATCATCGCTTGTCCGCAGTAGGAACCGCATTTTCGAGGTCACGAGCTGCGATTAGTACGTCGACAATTAAACTATCATAATCACGAGCACAGGAAATACCGTGCTTTTTGCTAAATGCTATCCTTTATGGTCTCATTATGGTCTAATTATCTTTCTTTCTCTCCCTATTTTTTCTTTTGGGTATATCCCGCAATATTTTCTATTAAGCGTTTTTTTCCAAATTTGTGATTTAACAAAATTATTGATGAGGAATATTAATTAAAATAATTTAATTTATAAATATATTTATATGCGCAATAATCACGTTTTCCTGACAACGGAATATAGGTAACAAAATGCAGAGTAGTACAAAGTAGTAAACAGCGGATATTATCGGACTTTAGCACTTCGGAATTATGTGACAAACACGTACAATACATGCTTCTTCGCGAATGAGACGTGAAAAATCGCTCGATAAACCGATCAGAATTGAGCGTCACACCTGCTGGCTAATTTATTTAGTAGCCCAAAAGGGAAACAAGTTTCAACGTCGCCATTGTATCGGCAGGTTTTCACAGCTTTGAAATATTACTGGCATGTTGGTTGGGTCCGTCCAGCCCCTTTGGGCAAGCTCCCGCGGGCTCGAATTAATTTCGCCGGGATACGAACGGCGGCATATACGTTAGGACGGCCCAGACGTCCTAGTTTATCGGGACATGTCGCCGACTGTCCCATTATTTACCGCCGTTCGGATACTTTGCCTACTTAAATGGGGTTTAATTAATGAATGGCACGTCGAGGACCGGCAAACTCGAACTCCCCGTGGATTTGTTTACGTGTGTCCTATCGGCTTTTTGTCGTCGGTCGAAGGGAGCGTCCCATTTTCGTTGATAAAGGTCCGCATAGATGTTGCACACATTGCCGCTATAAATCTCGCGATGCATCGGTTCTTTAGTGCACACCGCGAGATAATGACGTTATATTGCCTCCATCGGGATTTTACAAAACTGTCGCAGTGTCTCGCTGAACTTTTCGCATCGATACGAATTGCGATCGCCAGTGAATAAATTCCGCTCGCCGTGTCGGTTTATTACGCGCCGGGCATCATTCCTGCCCAATGAATTCTTTTGTCGCTTCACGCGGAAATTTCTATAAAGATCCGCCATTGCGAAATTATTGGCGAATTTGATGCATATGCACCCGTGTTATTAACGCTTTAAGAAACTTGCTTTAAACGCCCATGAAGGTTATTGCTTTTAAAATGTCGCATGCGCCGCGCATAAAAGGCGAAAGCAGCGAGAGCCCGCGTGTTGGTGCACACGTATTTTCAAGTGGATCAGTACACGAGCGCATTCTTTATTAATGCTCTACTTCAAACTTTTTGATAGCTGAATTCAGGAAAGACTTCACAAGAATGCTTCAGATACTTCGAAACAGACTATTACACGATACTTTTTGCAACGCTTTGCTGCCTTCCGAATAATTTTTATCAAATTTCGCGCTTTTTATGACTATATAAGTTCTAAATAAGCACAAAGTACGAGAAGGGATAGAGACTTGACTTTTATAAATTTTCTAACTATTTAGAAAGCATAATGTCTCTTTTATTTCATCATTTTTTAAATATTAACACTCACTTTTCTCATTTATTTATTAATGAACGTGAAAAAAAATATTTTATGGCATTGTAAGAACATATGCTTTCAAATACGTCAAATTCAACTTGCAAGCTACGAGATACGTATGTACAGCGTTGCTTGAAGTCCGCTCTCAATGTAGTTTGCTGCGATCTATATTCAGGTCAAGACCTAAAAATCAGTCAACGACGCAACCTAATCTATCGTCAGACGGGAGCAGAAGGAAATCGGCCGTTTACAAGGCCGGTGGAAGCTTACGGATTGCATCCAGGGTTAAGGGGTTTGCTCCGGGAGTCTGAGAGCCAAGGAGGGTGCGGTCGCTTGCAGCGTGATCCTCCCTAAGCCGAGGCTAAGAGGCTATTAGTTAGCTCTGCTATAGCTGCGACATAACCCGTAAGACTAACACGGTACTTACACCTTCCTGCCTCGTCGGGATCGCGGGATATTCAGCCAGTCAGGCTCTTCGCGTATGTTTGCATGGCGGTTGTCTACGCTGATGGTGACTCCTGAACACGATTAATAGTAAGGAATGAATATCAAACAAGCTAACCGCACCTCCATTTTCACGTTCCATCCGGTGCATGAAATTCCATTTAAGCCGGGATAATAAAATGTGCATAGTACAATGTAAATAATAAATATACGCTAAATGTGCGAATTGTATACAGTAGAATATGGTAGATAGAAGGAAACACGATATATATATACATTACTATAATGTTAAAAAATAACATGATTAAATTTAACCGCGATTATAACGTCACATAAATGTTACATGTGAAAAAAATCTTGCACAAGCTTTCTCTCCAAAATAGAATAATTATTCTAATTTTTTAAACATTAACAATTTTGTTTTACCTCGCAAAGTTATTTAATTTTGTTTATAATTGCTTAAAGAGCGTATACTCTCGAGAAAAACAGAACAAAAAATACATTATAATGGTACGCTAGAAAATTCTGCATGCATAATTTATCTTACTATATTTAATGAAGAATACATTATTATAGACACCTCCATTAATCTAATGGCAGTCGCCTGCGGTCGAATATTTTATTTCGCCGAGGGTTGATGGAAATTGTGCAATTTTGGTGGGAGCGCAGAGTGTTGCGGAAACGCGCGTGTATGTTTTGCAAATTCGATCCGCCGTTTCAAAGTAAAACTCAAATGACTCGAAATAAAAAACGGAAATGGGTCTGCATGCGCGAATGGTTGCGTAGTAATTAAATTAATGGGTAACCGTAGCCGATGACAATGGCAGGTCATTGGTAGTACGATCGTAACCATAGACCATGCGAAACAGTCGATACAATACAGCACTATCCAGAATACGTATAATAGCTTTGTGCCTTTTCGTTATTGTATTTTATTGTTTCGATTCTTCCCTTTCGCCCTTTTGAAATAGAAGTCATGCAACACATCATACGTTCTAACGTGAATCGCATAAATGTACGTCAAGATTCGAAAATTGAAATAGGTATATTGAAATATTGAATACCGTCCCATTCGTGTCACACTACTAAAATTACTTACTAATAGTAAAAAGAAGGGCGAAGAAGAAAAAAATATCACCGTGTGTAGAAAACACAGCAAAATATTTTATTGAAAATTATTTTCATATTTTACATTATATTTCACGTCATATTTTACAGTATTATAAAAAGTCGTCGATACAATAGCCTTTTATCGTCGCTGCTCCTTTAATCACGAGGCTCGTCACGTTAACGCGACAAAGCAAACATAATCGACGCGTATCGCATTTGTCGACTGTTCGCACGTGTGGCGATAAATTTTCGTGCAGCGCGTGTTCTAGGAAGTACTTTCCGGGGCACGTTTAACAAGGGTGCAAGCGAATTGTGGTAGGCCCGATAACAGGCAAGCACGGGGTACGTTAAGTTTCGAAACAAGTACGATCGTAAAAGTTTGCCAACTTCGAGCCGGTTTCGACGCGGGTGGTGATGGTGGTGGCGACGGCGAAACCGGCATTAAATATGAATCATAAAAGAGGCATAAAGATAATTGTATGCTAATAGAGCAAGTGTATGCGCTGCGTCGTCCACGACAGGCTCAGCGTCTCCCGTTATTACCTACATATGTATCTGCTTTACAGTGAATACCTATATGTGCTCGCCTAGCCGCGACGCGATATAACGTCAAGCCAATTTCGTGCGATCAACTTTGTCGAAACTATCTACCGCGTTGTGCCCGGGAAATACATTTACTACTTAAATTAAAGATCACTCGATCGTTCTTCGTGGCCGCTGTTCGCCGATGCCCGTCACGTTTAGCAATTATTTGTGATCGCGACACCGTTATCTTTGCAGTTTTACAGCGAGGGGACTTGAACGCTCGGAAAAATAGGGAATACAATTTTAAACAGTTGCATCGTGTTTCACAGAGTGATTTTACTGGCACCTAAAGTTCGCTCGATTATTGCGTACGTTTTTTTTTTTTTTAAACCTTGTGGCAGGCTTAAGCTTTTACTGCAAAGGCATAAATGTCGGAATGAAGTCTAACTGAAATTATTTCTTGATATTAAAAAGATTCGTGTATAATCTTGTTAGATATTCCAAGGGGCTTCCTTTTCTTTTCTCCCGTTCGCAGTATGCATTTCTCTTTGAGTTTTTGATAGGAAACAGGCAGCGAGGAACTAATATACAGAGGCAATTTTTACGATGTAATATCGCAGACGTTCTGTACGTCATAATAATGTTCCGCCTTGCCTGTAATACTTTAGAGAAGCATGGCACGATCTCTTTGAAGCTCGCAAAACTTTAAATCTTTAAACAGTGTACGCGAACTCATTAAAAGTTCTTTCTCAGAAAGGATAAAACGGGATGTATTGACGAAGTTGGTTTAGAAATACACTGAGTTTGTGAACATCGGCTGCCGGTTTGCGGCCAATTCTCTTTATCTACTGATGCAAGTAAAACAAGAGCTTGACAGGCATTGCGGGAAGATATAATCCGTAAAAAGAGGAAAATTTTCTACGTCAAAATTATAACCTTTTTCAAGTTGTCCCAAAAATATGACGATTGCATGTTTAAAAAAACCGAGATTTTGATAACAAATGCATTTTGACATATTTCCAAGATTTTCCACTAGTAAAATGCAATCTCTCCGCTAAAAGGAACTTTTCGAATTAAATATCAAAACGCATGTTATTGGCTACACGGGGGGGGATAAACTTTTTCCCTCTATCGACCCTAATTCTACAAACGGAAACGGTCGAGGCACACGGAAGTGAAGTCTTCGGAACTCTTAAAAACATCAGATGGAAATAAAAAAAGCCAGTCGTTAGAACTTTTCAGAGCGTACTTGACCGCCCCGGGTCGATGGTGTATGGACTCTCGCGGGCCGATCGAATTTATTATTTGGAACAAAATCGACGCCGCGCTTTTGCGGCCATCGGTGCCGAAGTGCGCGGCGCGGCGGAGCAAAGCGAGGAAAATAAGACGAGCGCTGAGACTGCGGCGGATAGCTTTTCACGAGGTCGTGAATCGGTAACGGTGAGGAGTATCTCCTTGACCGCTCGCTAGCTCTCAGAGAGTCGATCGTCCCCGAGAGCTTTTACGGGTTTTGACGAGAGCGCACCGTCACGATGTGTAAACCATGAGACCGTTCGACGATTCTTCGAATCTCATCCTCTCCCGGGAGCGACGGAATCGAAGGGGACGGGGATGGGATTCGACTGAAAGGCGAATCCTTTTTACGAGCTCGAATACATACGCCCGAAGGTCGAAGGAACGAGAGCGACGGCACTCGGGACCGCCCGAGATGCTCTACGCGCCGTTGCAGTCTCATTGCGGAGTCACGAGAATCCGAGGCAAGCATCCGAGACGCTTTCCGATTTTCCGAAAACCGCGCACGGAAGCGACTTCTGCCCCTACCGAGTATTGCCACTTCGCCCGTATCGTCTCTAATGTAAAGCATTGTAATCTAAATATGGATAAGGCGAGACGTGCGGGCTTTATCCGCGATACCGAGGTAAATATGTAATACGCGTATGTAACCAGGTTGCGCACGTTCGGTGTCACCGTCCCACCCAGAATCGCCGATGAGGTAGAAAATTCGAATCAAATTTGTAAAACATATGAAACGGAGAGAATGCATTTTCTTCTCGATCTTATTTCGTCTTAATTTGTGGAAATTTGCCGTTAATAATATCAGACAAGCAGTCGAAATCACAATGCAATCTGAAGCTACAGAGAAGCTAAAATATTTAGATAGGACCGCCATTGGACGAACCCCTGATTTAATACCTTTTCCACAGCACCACGTGGAGGACCTTGACACGTCGGTCAAGGTGATCCAATGCTCGCAATTATACTATCCGCAAAATATCTCAATGTCACTCTCTCTCTACTCCGGGCGTTCGCCCGTCCTAACTACCTTTCGAGGGCACTTGCGCCGAGCCGTAGAGTACTTCCACGTGTGTAGCACACAATATACGCGCGAGAAATCGATTCGCCATTGGAGGATCGGACTCGACATTCCCGACAATCTCTGACCGAGCGAATTGAAGTTTCGACCGAGTCATTATTGCTTTCGGCTGTCGCGCGAAGGACGATTTTCATCCTTCGACCGATCGAGCTACCAGGGCCGCGAGTGAACACGATCAGAGGCGAGGAGGCTAAAGTAGGACGGACAAATTTGACGCGCGACTCGTTTGGTGGTGGTATGTAAGAGATAATTGATGACGTTACGGTTCATTGCTGGTCTCTCTGTTACCCGACGCAGACAAATATTGACAGCTTCCGATCACAAAGCGGTGAGCTAGTATCCTTTGTACGCGTCCCACGCACCGCTGCTTGATGTCTGCTCGGTTTTCCTATCGAACCGCTGAACTCGTGGGTAAATCAACGTCCGCGCGCTCGACGTGCATGTCGACTTCCCTAAATTAAAGCATCCCGGCCCGCCCGTGTAAAGGCCGTGGTCCATACGTGAATTCATCCCCTTTTCCTGCCTTTTCGCTCGACTTTTTGATACAAAAAATACCACTTTCGTTCAGTGTTTCTTTTATGGCCAACAAAAGCCATAAAAGAAGCACTTTCATGTCTCGATTGGAATTTAAAAACAATCGGTGAATTTAGATCGACGGATCACATCGACCGAAAACATCCGGAAAACACGAAAAAAGACACGAAAAAAGATCGTGAAAGTTTACATGAGAAAAATCGGCATAGCTTGTAAATTTTCGATACGTTGACAAAGCGTCGACAAAGGGGAAACACCACGAAATTAATTAGTCGCGACAACGGTACAATTCTCGGATGCGGATACGCGTCAAAGGGATCGCGCAGTGATTTCGGAACGCGATGTAAGTTGCCTCCTCGCCGCGATCAAAGAGCTTTGGCTTCTCGCTGAGAAGGAATGAGAGTCCGGCAAACATAGTTCCGGAGAAACATAGTTTCGCGGAGGTCTGTGTCTACATTGTTCGTCTTCGGCCAGTCAATGGGACCGTTCCGTGTGTTGAGCTTGTAGTAGGTTTTGTAGGACGTGCAACTTACACCACCGAGCAAAAATAATTTGCGATAATAAATATAAAGGCATATAATAAATAAATAGTAGAAGGTGGAGAGTGTGGGAATGGAGTAAACGAAAAACAATTTGTGGATATTTTAAAGAAATTATGTCTAATACTAAAAAAAATTAAAAGATTTTTTTTTACGAATAAGTTAAATATAAATTGCATGTAATATTGACATCCGTTCGACAGAACATATGTATTTTTTTTAATTCTCTAAACTGTGGTGAAAGCCCACGTATTTAAATTGGCTAAGTGAAGTTCATGATACATACTCACATCGCGAGTCGGCACTGTGTCGACAAACATATGTGAGTACGGGTTGAAGCATTAGGAATTATTGCCATCCAATCGCTGTGTCAACCGTTGTACTTCTTCGTTTTAAATTAAACCTACATATTTTCATATTTCTATATCAGTCTCGCCCGTCCGTTCGACAGATCCTTGCAGGTCTGGACCCAAGTGTACGGTTGCGGAGGCAATCGCCCTTCAAAGGGAACGTTTTCGTTCCTGCAAACCGGTTAGTAACAAGTTTCGCAAAATTCAATTAGGCGATCTACATGGCCCGCGGCGAATCATCTGCTCGTTTCTGACGAAGCCCGGGACGTTAATGTTCTTCTGATCCGCGTAATCGTTCGATCTAGAAGTTGCCGCTCCCTATCGACGCCGGCGCTCGTGTTGTGCTGATAGCGGCAGTTTAGAAGTTTCGCGACGGCGGCCGGGCCTTTCAGGCAAACTCCTTCATCTCGGATTCGAGCTTGTTGATCACCCATTGCAACCCTTGTCGGCCCTTAAACGGAAAAAAAATATTACGTTTGCGAAAATGTTATTGCAGTCGATGTCGTTCGTAAACTTTTATAAAACGTGCAAATGCATCACCGTCTTATGAAACATTTTTTATGACAAAATCTTCGATACTATTCTGAATTGAAAAAAGTGACCATAGCAGGACAGAAATTTGCATCTCTCAAGAGAGAGTTTGTGCATCTTCCGGGTTTTTTTATTCGATCGTAAAAAACTTTCGTTTCTTGAACATAAGACACGTCGGAATTGTATAAAAATAATTTATATAACAACATTCGATTTTGTCAAATTTTTAGAAGATTGCGCATATGTATATATAATAAGCGAGATGTCAAAACAAGAGGAGATCACTTACTTTGCACGCATTGAAGGAGATTTTTGAAGCTAAGAGGTCCTCCATATAGTTGGTCAGTGGTACTCCCCGTACAGTGACCACCGCTTCCTGCGTGAGTAATGTCTTGGTGGGATCATCTGGATGGGGCGTATATCTGACAGCTTCGTCTACAGCGATATAGTTACCGAAGGTTAACTGCAAAAATCAAGAATAATTGATCTGATTAACGCGAATGTCATGAAACATTCTTACGCGTATTGGTCAAGTAAATACATATGAATTCCCTCATTTTTATTTGTTGAAGAAACATACTGCTGATTCGCATCGATTATTACGTGTATCATTGAGAGGTAATATATAGCTGTATAGATTTTCTTACTTTAATAAGACGCGTGACTTGCATTATTAAATCTGTCACACTGTAAGAGATATACATTGCCTACCACATTCACGCCGCCATATATCCGTATCATGAATTTCGGTCGCTCATATCGATCATTGTGTTCAACTCGCGGGGTTAGCAACCCTCGGGGTAGATGGGTAGTCGGAATTATCGAGATGGAACGTTACCACGAAAAGTAACGTAGACATCCTTGAATAATCAATGCCACCAAACAAGCAAATGAGTCGGCAGTGGCTCCCGTCACGCAGAAAAAAGCGTATTCAGCGCTTCCACTTCCGTGTCTTCCATTACGCTATATTTTTCCTCCCTTTTACATCGGCTACATTACTCGACGTGAATTTCTGGGCTATTTTTAGAATTATTAAACCTCTCTTCTCAAATAACCCGTATGCGACATTTATTTGAAGCGAATTGCCGAAATTGATTTTTCGATGTTCATTATAATACATAATTTAGTTGACAGGGCCGTGCCGATGAAATTATTTTTTAATTTTCTCGAATGTATAGCCCTCTTTCTGTTGTAAATATTATATGGTTATCTTGCTTATATGCACGAACATCGGAAATTCGAGTGTGTATTTATACCGCGCGATTCGAAGGCAATATTCGTGCAACGTTCCGCAATATCATGCTGCAGCGAATACTACCGAGTTCACGAAAGGATCGCGCCGATAATGCAACCCCAAATGATCGCGATATACAGAGTGCGATCTCACAATACGCCATAGCGCGTAATACGCGTTAGAAACCGAACATGCAGTTATGCGGAACCAATGTATATGCCGCGACTAATCGAATACGCGGAGGAGCGTGGAGTGTAACAAAACCGGAGAGTAGCGTTGGAAGACCATCTGAAATTCATTACAGTGCGCTAGTGCGTAAACATGCGACGCGAAAGCGGCAAACAGCACTCTGCGGGGCGATGTGCGGCGTGCTTTTGTTGCCAGCGCGGTATATACCGTCGGTACGACGAAGCGCCCGTTAGAGTGCTGCGTGCGTCGCGTTGTCATCGCGCGCGGATTTGTTTCCTGGCGCGAGAGAAACAATCACCCGCGCGCGCTGCTTGCGCGAACGATGGCGAAGGGTGGGTGGTAGCGCGAGAGGGCTGGAAACTAGCGCGGCAACTGGGCGCCTCGAGCCAGTTAGCCCGAGGCCTAAAGTTTAATCTGTGTCGCTGTCATAGAATTTGTACTAGCTGAAACGTATTTGCTGTTGGTATCGTATAGCTTTCACCGCTGTAAATTTGCGGTGGGGAAAATCGACCTCGGTTTCGATCTCTCGTATCTATAGTGCTGGCGTATCTTTAGGCGATATTCAATTCGAAAATCGCAGCCGCGGCGTTGATTGTTTACCATTTTTCACGCTACGACAATCCGGCCCCTATAAAGTCACATCTTGACACGGCCACACGGAAGGTGAAACATGCACGAGCAAGTTGCGCAAATAAAATCTCTCCTTCGATGTAGTTTTAATTAACAAAGTTTGAATCAACACTCTTCTACCTATCATGGGAAAATAAATATGTACGTTATGCATTAAATTGACGTAGTCAAAATCCTTAATTAAGATACGTAAAAAAAAATTATTATAATTTTTCCGTAGAGCAAAATGAGTACACGTTGCTCTAAAATTCTTAAGGGCCTCAACATTCACCTCTGCGCGCGGCCTCACGACACGCGGACAGCAGGGTCGGCGGAGATGCACGTCATTACGAGCTTCGGACGAGCACCATCCGTGGCATAGCGCGCCGTGGGGTGGAACAATTGAATCGCACGGGCGCAATACATTTCACGAGGAAATTAACGCCCGCGGCACATTGTGGGTCCGCGACTATCCCCAGATATAGAATGACGCGGTGTTGTACTCTATGGACTTCGCCATATTGGCAATCAGTGAAGCCGACTGTGTTACACCGCGGTCGACTCCGCCGTCCAACTTCGCTTCGCGGCACGACGGTTTCCAAAGCGCCGTGACCCACGGACATGAAGAAAGAAAGGAAAAATTAACATTACGCCCGCGAGCTGCTGCGTTTCACGGGGTTCACGCTCGGCAAGTCAGGGACAAAGACGTCGATTAAATCCGAGAGAAATGAAATTTCCGTTCGCCATATACTATATATAGCATATAGACGTTGCGTGTGTTCGCTACCGTTCATGTGCTACATCACTGTGAAATTCGCGGAATTATATCAACGACAGGAGTCGATCCTGAATGTCGGTGTAATCCTGAGTTTCATATCGCGTAATATTCGTAACGATCTTGCCATATTATTGCGATCTTACGATACGGAAGATTACACGGAGGAAATGGAGTAATGCTCTAGTTACAATATGCTAAGAGACTTTCTATATTTATGACATTGTACCATTTGATGAACATTAAAATACACAAAGATAAGACTGCAAAAGTAACCAGCGCAGTAACCAGCGCAGAAAAATGAAAAGGATATTAAATTTCGCTATTTAGTAATGTACCTCTCAAGAGTTTCCGAATATACTTTGAGTGTGCCATAATACAGGTCATGGAATACAAAGAAAGGCGAGGCTCGTAGCAATTGAAGAGCTGTTACTAAAGTACATAACTGGTTATCTAAATAAGATACTATTATTGCAGCTCTCGTTGCACCGCGCCACAACGGCGCAAGCTCGCCGATACGAAATACTCTAGTATTGTTGTTCCAGTATTGTGCTTTGTACTTAATTTTCTCTCGCGGAAAGGACATTACATTCGCGGGCACGTTCTATTATTTCTCCACTAATAACCATCCAATTTAAATATTTCGCTATATTTCAATATAATTATTTCAATAATTTAAATGAAACTGTATTCCTCGAAAGTCACATAATTAATCATCGCTCCCGCGAAAACAATACCCTTGTTACTCTCGAAAACAATACGTCTGTTACTCGAAATGCTCCTTCCAGCATCTAAAGCTGCGGAGGTATCGGCCTTGCTTTTTGGAAACTGTCTGATAATATCCAATAGCTTACCGCCGCACAAAGGATTTATGCACGAAAGAAGGATGAGTGTTTCAACGGCGAGAAAAAGATAAATGGAAAGAGGTGTAATTGACGAGACGAGAGATTCCATTGTCATGTCTGTGACGGGATGTAATCGCACTCTTGTTGAAGCGAATTTTTTAACCGCGGCGAGAAAAACGCTTCGCTTAATACCAGGTAGAATTACGACAATCCGGTATTATATCAAAGAGCAGTCGCTTCTCTCTTTTCTTCGGCTCCCGTTCCAATCCAGCCTCTTTCATCCGAATGGTAACTAACTGCACGAAACAGAAATCGCTTTAGCTTTTGATTTTCGAAATGTCCCAGCGAGTGACGTATGTAAATAGTTTTTTGCAGCGGATTGAAAATTGTAAGCCTTTAAGCGCGCATTTACATGCTATAGCTGCGAGATTTTTTCACGAATATAAACGGATAATAAAGTAACGGATGATTGAAATACATTGCAAATATGTTCTGTTCACCGATTCTGATTCGCATATTTTTTTTGTTTTACGAGGATTATCATTTTTCGTAAAAATTCCTGTGTCAGATGCTAATAACGGTCGTGCTTCTCCGCGCACGTGAAATCCGACAATCGCGTTTAATTCCTGGCGAACCTCCACGAAACAACCGTGTTTCTCAATGGTAATATAAATTCTTTTTCCGCGGTGAATATTCGACGTAGTTTACTCACAGTTCGCGCAGCGTTCTTCGAACAACAAACACGGCACAGTTTCTCTCATCGTCGAGTGCTATCAACGCCTTAGGGCCGTAAACTGAGTGCATGAGCGAAGAGAGAAGCGTTATAACGCCGCCGCAAAGGGGGGCGTAGAATGAACGGGATTTAATCGTATCAAGCGAACGATCGATCGTCCCGTCAGCTGCGAATCTGTCGTTGACGCCGAAAGTAATTAATTTCGGTCTCTTTTTTTCGGCGCGACCGCGAAGAACGGTGGTGCATTGTCGTGCTGGCGGCGGACGCGAACGACGTTACGCGATGCCGCGGGTGCATCGGCTAATTGAAAATTTTTCTCGTCAGTCGCGCGTCGAAACCGATGTTTGCCAATCGCTCGGCCTCTCTGTGCCAAAACCCCTCGTTTGCTTTCCATTTACCGGCGGGCGTTGCAACGCGGCCGCGCCCGATGACGCATCAGCCGATAGACGAGATATCTCGGACAATTTCTGAATAACTACCTCGAAAGCATCGTATCGATTTGCGGCAGCACTAGCAAAGTGAGCACTTCATACAGTATGTAATACACAATACCTTTCTTTCATAAACTGAATTATAACGATGCAGGAACGAGAACAGGAATAATCGTAAAATGAGTATAGAGATTCGATTTTCTCTTTAAAAATATATGGTATTAAAATACATTGCAATATCCACTCTGTACATCTTATGCATTCAAGAATATATTGTTGTCATTTTTAATAATGTATATAAAATAATATATGTAATATAGAGGAATAAACTAATCTTTTATATCACAAAAATTCATTAATGTATGCATAATGCACATATCCATTTTTTCGCGGTAAGCGTAGAAATGTTGACTTGAACTTTCCTAATTAAAATCTCGTCGAAAGAGAGGTTCCCCCTGATCGTTGGTAGGCATAGCATGCGTCCCCCTCTACTTCCCGATCAAATACTCATGATTCCGTTTCACCCTTTGGTATTAGCAACGGAGAATGGAAGACTGTAGAGAGTAGGGAGAGCCGAGCGGTGAAGTGGAAGCTCTCCTTCAGCATGCACTCGCGAGTAATTAGCATCGCCGCATAATTGAGAGGAC